TATACAATTGAAATATTGGGAAACATCATTTTATTTAATAAAGACAAAATTAATAAATATATTTACTTACTAAACTCTTATCTTCAAATGTTTCAAGTACTTTATTTAATTTTATTTTTTCAGCTTCTTTCTGACACAAACTTAGCTCGATGATAAAGGCCGGATAATTTTATTCAACCAATTATGGTACAGAATTTCTAGGATTTCTGATTTTTCTGGTTGGTTCGATTCCAACGTTGATTCTTACATTATTGAAATTAAGCAAAATGATCATCATCATTTTCATCATTTTGATTTGAAATGTTGGTATATAATAATATCTACGAATAACATTTGACTTGTCAAAAAAAAAAAAAAGATTATTAATAAAAACAATAAAGATTAATGTAAATGAAACCAATATAATACCTAATTTACCTATTTTCATCTTCAAAAAGCCATATTATACTCCTTTTGAGTATACATGATTATTCAGCCTGGTATGAACTCTTCTACAACTACAAGCTTCGGTGAATCATCAAGACGGTAGATGTGTTTCCAATTTAATCAGTAACATGAAATCTTTCAGCCAAACTAAATGTCGTATTGTCCACCTTCACAATAAAAAGGAGCACGACCATTTGATAACTCCCATAAGAGACCAACACTGTAGACATCACTCTTTTCGGCATCTGTAGCTCCCAGTTTAAATACATTGTATTAGTGATGTATGGTGCCAGACGAGACTTGACAATAGCTTTAGAGGAAGCACGAGCATTATCAAATCTAGTTTCTAATGACATTCTTTGTGATGATAACCTTTTTTTTAAAAAAAAAAATTAAATAAAATAAAATTAAATTTGTTAGATAAAATTTTAAATAAAACCAAATATTTCTGCATGTGAAAGAAATGAAACGAAATGAAAGTTGTTTTTTGAATGTTAGGAGTATATCATAAGTAGAATAGTAAAATTAAAAAAATGACAGAGAATTATACAAGCACTATTCTAGACTCATAATATACCGTTAAATTTCAGTATGAAATTAAATGAAAACTTACTTAATGATCGTCAAAAGCAGACATATTTTTTTAATTCTATTATCCATCATCTTAAAAGCCATGATATTTATTATTCACTTAAAAAGTGAAAGAGTTCAAAAAGAGTATAAAAAGTGATGTTAAAGAATTGAAGATGGATGAGAAAGATGAAAAAAAAATTTATGGGAAGTAATTTATAAAATCGGTGTAACATTATGTTGATAGGTCACCTGATCTGCCAGATACGAAAATCAATTTGTTTAATAAAATATAGTATATCGTTTATTTCCAAGATCAACGAAATTTTTAAGATGGAAGTAACATGTAATATTGAATGCGCGTATAATAAATCTACAGTTCACTAGCTGTTGATGCTCTCAATCAATCAACACTGAAAAATAGCTGGCAAGTTATAAACCAGTGTTCCCTTCGGCAGATTTACTGTGGCGATAATATATGCTTTTCGTCAACCATTCCTGGAAATGTAAATAACGAAACAACCTTTACATATTTTCCATTAGATCACGTGAGGTATCATCGATTTGATCATCGTTTTCAAGACATTTTATATTATTATTAAATTATTTTAATATGAATGACAAATTTTAATCGTTGCAATCCAGTTACATAAGAATGCGTATGTGAACCTATTGATAACTCCCGGCCGAGTTTGTTGAGCCTTTCGATAATGTCATCGAAATCTTTAGATATAAAATCAACGATATTTGGATTTTCTACTTTGACTTGTAGGAGTGATATATAGTCTAAGTCTAATTCATTCTCATCAATTGCTATAAGATCACCAAGTTCTTCATCTTGCTCTTCAATCCTACTCAAATGATAAACGAGTTTACTTACAATGTGAATAATTTAGGATTATAATAACGCAAACATACGTCATTCCTGCTGTATCTTCTAAATCTGTCATCGGTATCTCTCTCTAGAATATATCGATAAAGATATTCTCTAATAGTTTTCCTTGCACTTTTTTCTTCACCCTTTTCTAAAAAAATTTGTATTATGTATGTACGGGTGACTCCTTTTTACGTATGCACTAATATTTCTTATTAGCTGTTTCCCGATGTATTTATCTATCTCCCATTCCGGTATTTTCTTAATCTCTTCATAAAGATTCGTTGTGTGTCCTTCAATCGATTCTGGTATGCACTGTAACAAAAAGGAATAGGTTGCACGTTAAAACCCGCTTATCTCATTTATCATTTTATATTACTTACCGTCGTTTTATTTTTTGACAACATGATGTATACCAAAGTCATTATCTACGTAAAAGTAAAAACCAGAGTATTTAAAGTAAAATCATACGTCTTGTGATATGTCATGTGACGTGTGGCGCAGGATGATCAAAAATTTCGAAGTCCAATGCAATTTGATATTTTCGAAGGAAAGTAATAGGTCAATCTAGTTTGAAATTTCTGATTTTTCTTTCCCACCAGTGTTTTTATTTAAATCATCAAAAAAAAAAATTTGATTCAAATTTATTGTTGAATTTTGAATATTTTTTTAGATGAATATTTAAAATATCGGGAAAAAAACATTAAAAAGCATTATTATTTTAGTAGATTGTATATTTCTCGGAAGTAAAATGCTACGCTAAAAAATATTATATATAACTAAAACTATATAAACTAATTCATCTATCTATATTGTGATTATTTTAATAATTCTTTACTTCTTTGAGCTCTTTTTTTATTTCCTTATTTCCTTTTTCGCTTCAAGGTATACCATCTGAAAGAAAGTGAATACAAAAAATTACGTTACAATACTACCATAACGATTTTTCATACATTGAGATTTCCTAATATACTCGCGTACAACTCCATTAATTGAGTATTTATGCGCTTTTTCAAGAGAATCCCAAGTGGCCATAAAATTTGACTCTCATCATAAAAATCTAAATAATATCATTCCATAGCTATAATAATTCTATGATCAAAGCCAAATACAGCAACACAAGTTATATGGTAAATTAGTTCTTTTGGATCACTATCAAGAACCTTAAAATCAATAAAGGTTGCAATGCGAGATTTGTCTAAAATTTTCAACTAATATGTGTATCATTGCAACGTCATTGTGACACATCTTTTTCATCACATATTGGCACTTGTGACATGGTACTTTGGCTATCAATCCTTCCTGGGTAAGGCGAGGGAGGGTACGCGTGTACAAGACAACAGGTTCAACACGTTTTCTGAGGGGTTGGGGATTTCCCCGTATCACCTCGAAGGGAACCGATTCTGCATAATTATGTCTGCAATCCTTCTTTTCTTCTTTGGTTAGGACATCCAACACTTCCGATGTCCACTTTAACATCAGAAAGTTCTCTACCCTTAACCTCGCTCACTGGTGTTTAACAACGAATCGAGGCATCCATCATGAATTTCACAACCATTCCTTTTCGTTTCGAAATCTCTCTTGAGTACGTTATATTTACAGTAGATGGTCGCAATTTTGATTGTTATCAAACTTACTGCTAAGCGTTCCAGACATTTCCCAAATTGGAATAATCAATATCGGATGAACTTTGTGTAAGATGTTTTCCCTCCCTGGCCGAAGGGTGTGATTATTTGGTTCGTTCTACATTAATAAAACGTTTTTTGAATTTGTTCAAGCGTTTTTTGTACCCCCTCTCCTTACCTGAATGGTTCCACGAATTCTGCAATCTGCACGGACTTTGTATAAATATATAGCAAATATACAATACTCAAACTAGTGAAACAACAAAATAAACGTTCATTTCTTATGATCATTATATGATAAATATAAGTATGCTAGCTAATTCTTGTAGGAAATTTCTCCATTTACAGTATATTCAAAAATCAATTGATTAGCTAGGCTTGATATGTGCTTGCTTGCTATTCATATCTTCTTTAGACTCAAATTCATATTAGAGCTAAAGTAGAAGAATATACAATAAATCCTCATGTTAAACTTTTGCATTTGAGAATAAGAATATGTAAAAAATATATTATAATCTCAAAGGTATTAGGGATTATGTATATATAAACTTTTTATTTTTATTTGAATAATTATGTGAAAGAATAAGCATAATCACATAATGATTTGAATGTTATTACATTATATATAGCTGTTTTTTTATATTGCATATACTTTTATATAATGTGGTAGAAAAATAATTTGATTTAATCATTATACAAAATATATAATTTTTTATTAATTTTTTTTCTTCACAATATATCTTCACATCTATTCTTGATACAATATATTGAAATTCTTTATTAATGTAATGCTGTAAATAAATTACATGATACAGAAATGTGGCTATATCAGTTTTCGTATTTCTACAATATATCTAGCTAGCATTAACAGCCAAATAATTAATATTCTTACTGTAAGTTATAAGATCAGAAAAAATTCGTGAACATTGATAAAACTTCTAAATTTAGACAGACTATCAAATGTTAAAAATGTCAAAGCCTTAATAAATCATATAAATAAACCTGTCAAAAGCTGTCAAACTTATATTAAATAGTCAAAAATATATTAAAGATGTATTAAAAACCTGTTGAAATTAGAAATGTAATTTTTTAATCTTATTGCTAATAATTTTATAATGATAATAAATCATTAATTAGTAAAATTATTTATCTCTTAACAAATACGTAATATGATTGAATCAATTTTTGATTTGTAATATTTGTTATAAGGTTTCATTTTGTATCAGAGAGATTTTACATTCTTTAATCTCAAAATATCTCTCAAGTTTCAAAAACTATGGTTTTAATCATTCATTCATGTCAATTTTATTAACAATTACTGGTTTATCTGATTCACATCCTTTTAATGTGTTTTTTCATTCTGTTAATTTTTATCTTCCTCTTTAAATTGTTTTCATTTTTACCAAATGGCACCTTCTTTAAGGTTATTGTTGCTTTTATTATCGCTAATATACAGAGGGTAGCCAAAAGTTTCCGAATACCAAGTTTGACATCGTATATCTCAAGATGCACCGATCAGAATTAGTTCAAAATTTCATATAATCTTGATACAATCTCAACCTATAATTTATTAAAATTTCATTTAATTTGAATCGGTAGAAGCTGAGATATATATGTAAACATAAATGCATAAATATTTTTGATTTTAGATTTTAGTTAAAGTTTTTAAAGTTTTTGAAATATATTTTCTAAATATCTAATGATTCAAATTAAATAAAATTTATGTATATAATAAATCAATTTATTATTTATAAAATATTAAAATTTGAGCTGATTTGGATTTCTTATTTTTGAGATAATTAATATACAAGATTATGTT